GGATACCGGGACCAGCTGGGTGAGAGGTGCCACTAAACACCCGGGGTTTAGTCTCTTTGGGGTAAAACCCCCTAATTCTTAAGCCTATTTGCAATAGAAACTAGTTCTGATTGCACTAGTCCGTTGTACCTGGGGTTCAAAAGGCACAATAAATAATAATTATAAACACATGTAGTTCAAAAGGCATAAAGAGGTACTTAGGATCAACATATCTACTGGCGAAAGATTTAGTAAAAGAAAAACTAGGCTGCAAGAAAAAAGCTTCCTTTTGCAGTTTTGTCAGTGGGTTTTTGATTTTTTTGAGCTTGTTTTCTTGTTTCCTCTGATCTGGTTTATTTCGCAAACATTTAAGCTCAAATGAGCAACAGCAGGAAAAAAAAGCAACAGCTGGGTGCAAAGAATCAGTGTGGGACTAAGGGTTCACGTGCTTTAGGCGTGTGTGCACACACGTGTGTAAAAGCATCACTTCTTTTCAGGGCTGCATTGTATCACACAAGCAGTAAAATCAAATTTCTTCCTGTTTTCATACACTTCCCGTGCATCATTTACCAGGAACCTGCTCCAAGTCCAGTGAGTGGCAGAAGACAGATTAATTGTGGCTCCGGATGATTTATTTTCACTCCAATTTTCCAGCTCCTTACACTGGTTTGAAGTGCCAGTGTCCACTGTTTGAGCCGTCCACGGTGAAAATGAACAGCACAGCTGAGCAGTAAAAAAAGAGTTTTGCTTCCAAATCAGAGCAAGTGGGAAGGCACAAGCTTTGAGGAAGGAAAAATGCGGTTCCTTCCCAATTCCTGACTTGCAGAGGGGTCACAGTCACGGATAATGCTGGAGAGACAGAGCTGGGCTGGGCTGAGGGGAAAAGAGGGGAAGTGAAAGTGCACAGCACAGGGAAGGTGTCAAAGGGAACAAGGCTCCATAAAGTGCCTCAGCCATCTGACTGACACAATTCCATGGGCCCATGGACTCTGGATTTACCAGGATTGCTGCCTCGTTGCTGAAACAAAGGAGCAGGTGGTGAAACTCCTGCTGTCACTACCATGTCCTTCCCCTCTGGCATCCCTGCCAACCTGGATGGTTTTGCCTGTCTTTCCGTTAAGTAAGGACTTTAAATGTGGATTTAAGTCCTGAAGTGTAGCATTTGGTCTCAGTGCACTCAGAAGGAAAAGGGAACTATAAAGGTGACTCCCGGTGGGGGCTGGAGAAAGAAAGGCTGATAAAAGCCACCAATTTTTTCCCTTTAATTTCTTACGGTTGAAAACCATGTGTCCCTGCTGCTCATTCTTGTGTGTCTGCTCCCGTGCTTTGTTCCATGGTTCCCTGTTCCTCCAGCTGCTGCTCAGATCCCTGCATCACAAGCTCAGCCTCACTCAGGATCTCAGGGGTGGTTTGCTGGCCCAGCAGGGCCTGGCTGCCCTCTGAGGGGCTCTGTGGGGCAGGGACTGGGCTCTCTGTCCCTGCTGCTCTTTCCTGCATTTCCGCAGCTGTGGTTTCTCCCAGGT